CTTCCATCCATTGCTTCTTGCCTGACTTCAGGTGCTTTGGAGAATAGCTTGACTCCCTCTTCTTTGTGGCAGCCCCTGAGATATTGGAACATTGCTATCATGTTACCCCTAGTCCTTCTTTTCAGTAAACTAGACATACATAAACTATATAAATTTATATTTTCTCAAAGCTTTTAAATGTTAAATTAATAATGTCCCCTTTCCTAGTTCCTGCATTTCTGACACAAGACAAGATTTATTTGTTTACCACATTTATATGGCTACCCATCATCTAAAAAACAACTCTGGGTGCCATACAACTTTCAATTATTTACTGGATTTACTGGTGCCTTAACCACCAGATCAAACTGGTTCATCCTTTAATTTTCCAAAGAAAATATGGTCCCCACTTTTATGCTACCCAGCCTGATAGCTGTCTTCAATCCTGACTGGCATGGGCTAAAGAGGGCTTCCCCAAGGATCTGACTGAAAGATGATCAGGCAGTTTCTTACAAGAAAGGACCAAAAACTTACCTTGGAGAGCCCACACAGCTGTTCCTGCCAGGGCGACAGCAGCCACAGCGGCTGGAATTAAGAAGAGAGAGGGCTTCATGGGGGAAAAGGCTGGAACAGACACCAGGCACAGCTTTGGCCAGTTGTAAAGAGGAACTGGGGAAGCTGGAGGGGAAAGGGAAACCACATATGTTGTCAACAAGCATGAGAAAGGAGAAGGGAGCCCAAGAGTGCATCTCTGTGGGCAGGGCCCTTCAAGGGACCTGCCAATCATCAGTGTTGTGTCCCGTGCCTGCAGAAGCAGGTGCGGAAAGTTGCAAGAGTCCCGGGCATTTGCAAAAGCTGCCCGGGACCAGACTGAGCGGCGCCGGCCTTGCGCGCATGCGCAAGGCGGGAAAGGACTGCCTTGTGATTGGTTGGAATTGCCCGTGGATCGGAGGATATATATAGAGGCTTGCGCGCCTCTGCGCTTGTCGTTGTTCGTAGATTGGAAGCAGAGAATAAAGACTTGTTAGAAATGCTTCATCTCAAGCGCCATTATTCTCCGGACTTAACAATCAGGAAGCTCTTTCCTCTTGATTCCATGTTGTTCCCAATTTATAGAACATTCTTATTCAAGCAAGTCAGCTGCAGGGTGCAGTTCAAGAGGTGGGTTATCTCCTTTAAAGCCGTGGTGGCGCAGTGGTTAGAAGGCAGTACTGCAGGCTACTTCTGCTGACTGCCGTCTGATTGCAATTTGGCAGTTCGATCCTGACCAGGCTCAAGGTTGACTCGGCCTTCTATCCTTCCGAGATAAAATGAGGACCTGGATTGCTGGGACCAATATGCTGACTCTGTAAACCGCTCAGAGAGGGCTGTAAAGCACTGCGAAGCGGTATATAAGTCTAAGTGCTATTGCTATTGCTATTTAGAGACCCCTGTGATTCAGGATCTGTCAGCCTTATGAGGTAAACCAGACTGAAAACACGATTAGATGAACTAATTCTGCTTTATCGTAAAGCATTGCATTAACAGACTCTTGCAAGTCTGACAGTACAAATCTTTGCCCACCCCCACCCCCCTCCGAGGGGCACACGACAGGGATTTTATAATATTCTTAACTTACATAGTTATTATATATTTTAATTTGCCTTATCTTTTTTTCCTCTTCGAAAATGGTGATAAGGGTTTATCAGGCCATTGCAGACTGGAATGTAGGAGAACTTTTTATCCTATTGCTATATGAATTGATTGATAGCTTCTCTGGACAATATCTCCTGACGAGAGAGAGAGAGAGAGAGAGAGAGAGAGAGAGAGAGAGAGAGAGATATTCTGTCGTCACACTTTATTTTAATAAACATGTGAGATATTATGGGAAGCAAATATGTAACATGTTTGATTACATGTAATTGATTGTCTATGCCAGGGGTAGGCAACCTTGGCTCTTTTATGACTTGTGGACTTCAACTCCCAGAATTCCTGAGCCAGCGATGCTGAAGGGAAATGGAGAGGTTTCCAAGCTAAGCTATGCTGGCTCAGGAATTCTGGGAGTTGAAGTCCACGAGTCATAAAAGAGCCAAGGTTGCCTACCCTTGGCCTATGCAAAAGGGAAGTTACTTTGGTCCTGTCCAATCACTTTTTCTCTTGCATTTTTTTATGTCTTTATAGAAAAGGGAATGTATGATGGGTCCCGGGGTTCTCCCTTTTCATAGG